TCCTCCACCTCAGAGGCAGTGCTACCTGCATACTCACAGTCCTGACTGGGCAACAGGAAACACACCAGTAAGATTCTCTTCTTTATCTCTCTCATTAAGATGTGACCATGCTTGTTTTAGTAATAATCATTGCTGTCATCTAGATGTCTGTCCCCAAGCCAGTGAACTCTGGGAAAACACTTATGATTCACTATTAGGTTTCTTAATTCTTATTTTCCTTCCCTATTCTGGAATATGTGAAAGATACTTGCTATAGACTATTTATGTCCCCCCAAATTTCATGTGTTGAAATTGTAACCCCCAGTGTCATGATATTAGGAGGTGGAGCCTTCTGTAGGTGAATAGATCATGAAAACAGGGTCTTTATGCTGTGGTTTGTATGTCTCCTCCAAAACTTGTGTTTAAGTTTAATTGCTGTTGTCACACTATTAAGAAGTGGGAATTTTGAGAGGTGATTAGATTACAGGGGCTCTGCCCTCATAAACAAGTCAATTATCTATCTTGGGAGTGAGTTAGTTGTTACAGGAATGGGCTCCTAATAAAAGAGATGAGTTTGGCCTGATTTCCTTTCTATCTTCTGAGCTCACTTGCCCTTTCGCCATGGGATAACATCGTAAGGATGCCCTTGCCAGGTGCCAATGCCATACTCTTGGACTTTCCAGCCTTCAGAACTGTAAGCCAAATGAACTGTTCTTCATACATTGCCCTGTCTATGGTATTCTGTTGAAGCAAAAGAAGATGGACTACAACACTTCATGAAAAGGATTGGTGCCTTACAAAAGAGACTCGGAGTGCTACCTTGCCCTTTTTTATGTCTTAAGAAGATACATTGAGACGAAGTCTATCTACAAACCAGAAAGGGGGCCTACAACAGATACAGAATTTGCTAGCACCATGATCTTGAACTTCCTAGCCTCCAGAACTAAGAAAACTTAGAAATATTTATAAGTAACCCACTTTAGTTTGTTTTTGTAGCCCAAACAGACTAAGATGGCACTTTCATTCAACGAATGGTTTGGAGTGCTTATTCAACAAATGGTTTGGAGTGCTTACTATATGCTAAAGCCATGTACAATTCCTCTGCCTCATCCAGATTTTTTTTTTAAAATTATTTTTATTTAACTTTATTCATTTGACCAGAGAGGGACAGAGTAAGTTGGTGGGGAGAGTGAGAAAGCAAGCCACCAGGGTTGGGACTTGAACCATGGCTGGCCATGTGGGAGTCCAGAACCTTTAGCCACCATGCCACCTTCTGGCCCCCCTTGTCCAGAACTTTGTTCTATTTTTTCCCTATATACTACACAGAAGGCTCCATATTTTCCTCCATTTGGCTCTTTGTGACATCCATCAAGAGATTTCTACGTCAAGGTGTGATGCTCTGTCTCTGCAAGATCCAATAGTAGTCAGTAGTCAGAAGTTAAGCAGTTACAATGTGGCCAGTGTGACAGAAGTGAAATTTTCGTTGAATTTATTTTTAATTGATTTAAATTTAAATGTAAATAGCTACAAGGTACTGTCATATTTGACAGTGCAGATTATTTATTTCACGTTAGATCTGTTCCTGTTGGAAATGCGTGTGTGATTTTATTGGTTCCTGAACATTATATCTTAAGAACCCACACTTAATAAAAATTTTTTTTAAACTTTGAACAATTAATAACATAGATGAACAAAAGTTAATCTTAATATTTATGTGGTTCATTTCCAAGAATTGATAAATTCTCTTTATTTCAGTGATAATAATGATAATAAGCAAGGCCCAGCCACAGTGGGGCAGAGGTACTCTGCAATACTGGAGGCCATACGGAATATTGGAGTTTGGTTCTCTGGTCAACCTACACATACTGAACCATGCCTGTGATACTGGCTGGCTGGGAAAGTCTAGGGGCACTGTGGTATAAAACCCTGTTAAGACTGCTCATCTCTCTCTCTCTCTGTGTCTTATGAAATAAGTAAATAAATAACCTTAAAAAATAGAGTTACATCATAGAAAAAACTCAAGAACATTCATTTTCGTAATCCCTAGAGACTTTCACATTTGAATAAACATCAGTATAAAAATGGTTTACTAATATTCTGATTGTTGTCCCCAGGTAACAATCTCCAACCCCATCACAAGTTATGTAATGTGCTAAAATCTAAGATGTATTTATGTGAGGTCATCTCAGACCTGACTTGCTTAAAAAATGAAGGAAAGAAAACCCTTTTTTTCTATAATCCTATTTTTCTCCATTACTCAGTATAGTGATAATAAACTGATCCAACAAATGAAATTAGTCGAACTATTCCATAAACACAGTCTGGTCAGTGAATTCAAAGAAAGAAGTGAAAGTCAGTAAGTATGGAAACATCATCCTTAACTTGCTAAAATTCATCATTGCTAAGATATTTATACTATAGAGGCACTACACCATCAAATTTCAATGAAATTATTGATTCCTCCCTCTCTAATGATAGCAGAAACCCCTCCGCACAACTTTTTTACTTTTTGCCAACACCCATCATCTTGTCCCATGTGACTTCTACTCACCTTCACAGTCCCCACCTCTTGAGCTTAATTTCCTGGAATTCAAATATGACCAAACACCTTGTACCCCAGACACATGCATCATGAGTCCCAGTTCTAGAAGCTTTCTTCCATTTGTTCCTTTAGGGGCTACACACTGGGATCACGTGGCAAGCATTTAGAATCATTTCTACGCTCATGCAAAAGTAATTGAATTGAATTCTCAGGGTAAGACCTTGTAAGACCTTGTAGTCAGTTTGGTTCTTTTCCTTTTTTTTTTTCTTTTAGAGAATTTTTTTTGCAATAGGGCACATGTGCTTGCCAGAGACAGAGAGAGAAAGCAAGAAATCACTCCCCACGGGGAATGGCCATTCCGCAATCCCTTGTTTTCCATTCTCCTCTAAGGATTTTGGGCATGCACACACAAGTGCCCAGCATGAATTTCAAGTTGCCAGGTCTGGGACTCAAACTGTGGTTAGCCATGAAGGAGTCCAACACCATATCCACTACATGACCTTCTGGTCCCTGTCAGTTTTTGTTTGTTTGTTTGATTTTTTTAAAGATTTTTTGCCATAGGGTGCATGCTCTTGCCAGAGAGGTACAGTGAGAGAGAAAGTGAGAAATCACTAATCCCCCAGAAAGGAGATGGCCAGCCTTAACCCCTTTTTCTTCATTTTCCTCTAGGGCTTTGGGCACATATGCACAAGTGGCTGGTGTGATTTTCAAGCTGCCAGGTCAGGGACTTGAACAACAGTTGGCTATGTGTGAGTTCAGTGCCTTAACCTCTATGACACCTGCTGGCCCTAGTGTTTTAAAATGAAGCTTCTTGATGATTCTAAGGAATAGCCAGGGTGTAGCTGCCACTCTAATTAGTAGTCTTAGTTTAAAGACCTCAACTAGGTGTAAGTTTCGTCCTAGTGAGGAATTTGATCTTGGTTTAATTAGATAGGTGTTAACTTTTTAAGGTTTTCTGAAGGTTTTAAATCCATACAAAATCCTGTTCTTCATTTTACATAGGAGGAAATAAAGTGTCCCATTCGTAGTGAGGGAGATGACCTGCAGTGGCTAGAGGAAGTTTCCTCTTTTATGGTAAATAAAAACAGAAGCAAAACAAAACAAAACAAATTCCCCAAACCAATCAACCAATCAAGTCACTGAGAACCAAATATATATTGTCATTCCTGTTTCCCATTCTAATGGCACTGTGGGAGACAGGCCCTGAGTTTGTCTCCCTTCAAGACTGTCTTTGGTGTACACAGTAAGTCATATCTCAGAAAACAGGAGAATATAAGTGATAAAGGTGTCTTACAGACCACAACAGAATTTAAAGCTTAAGAATTCAGGTGTTGGAGTCCAGACTTTCTTGAGATTTGGGAAAATTACTTTTTCTCCCTGTGTTTCAGTTTCTCTATCAGCAAAATGGGGCAATCACAGTTCTCCCCACATCAGGTTTTTATTAGCCTTTAATATAAAAAGCTGATTAAAAAGTGTTGGGAGTTGAGCATAGGATGCAATATATACTCTAAATGGTGGCCTTTATTATTGCACTTTGCCCTGTCGCCATCCAGGGATCGCATCAGGTCTGAAAACCTTGTCAGGTCACAAGTAGCCTTGACCTTAGCATTTCAAGGGGCCAGCAGCCACTTTGTTTTCTAAACATTTCTGGCACCAAAGTCTCTTTTTTGGGCTTGAAACCAAGAATCAGTGCTGCTTGGAAGACCAGTCAACCTCAACAATGGTTTTGCTGCTTTATGAATGCCAGTAAAGATGATCACTTAATTGCTTATTTTAAGACATCATAAACTCTCAGAAAACAAGCAAATAGGGTTGTTAAAAGTCTGAATAGGGGCCAGGCTGTGGCATGGTGGTTAAAGCACTGGCCTTTCACATGGCTAACCATAGTTAGGGACCAATATCTAGTGGCTCGCCTTCTTACTTTCTCTCTCTCTCTGGTAAAATTTTAAAAATAGCAATACATAAATAAAATTAAATAAATAATTCTTCAAAAAAAATTCTGTATCTACTACTCTGTACATTCTGACTGTAGGGACCACAGAGGGAGTGAACCTATATACTGACTGAGTTGGGATTTTTCCTAAAGACATTGCGTGTGTCATAAAGATGATATGCAGGGAACCAGCAGTTAGCGTAATGGCGATGTTGCTGGACTCTCACGTAGTCGACCGCGGTTCGTGTCCCGGACCCGGTGGCTTAAAACTCACGCCGGGCGCGTGTGCGTGCGTGCCCAAGATCCCGAGAGGAGAATGGAGGAGAAGGGATTGCGGCGTGACCATTCCCCCTGGGGGGTGATTTCTCGCTTTCTGTCTCTATGTCTCTCTCTGTCTGTCTGGCGAGCGCACGCGCCCTACAGTGAAAATCTCTCAAAAAAAAAATGATGATATACATAAGAAAGGCTCAATATCGGGCATGATGGCACCCGCCCTGTGGCAGAAAGGCTCAATATATACATACATCAAGTGAATTGATCGCTTACCTTTGAGAGCCGACTCATTCTCTCTTCATTGTCTTCCAGAGTCCGCAAACTTGGAGGTATGTACCAGAAGCAGACGTTCGTGTGCTGAGGCTACAAGAAGGACACGGCCACATTCAGCCCAAACTGGCAAGTTTGGAAACCCCAAGGACATTTCAAATTACTTATCTGGCAGGTTCATAATACAATTTCTACCCTCCCTTTTTTTTATCTGAGAGAATTTTTTTTGCTATATGGCATATGTGCTCACAAGAGAGAGACCGAGAGACAGAAAGTGAGAAGTCGCCCTGTAGCGGGGGATGGCTACGTCACAATCCCATCTCCATTCATATCTTGGGATTTTGGGCACATGTGTATACATGCCTGGCGTGAGTTTTAAGCTGCCAGGTCTGGAACTCGAACTGCAGTCAACTATGTGGAAGTCCAGTGATGTAACCATTATGCCATCTGCTGGTCTCACAATTTCTACTCTTAATTTAGTAATTGCTGTTGGAGTGCCTGACTTACAAACGTCACACAGAATTATTCGCGAGTCTGATTTTCATTTCAATGCAGGATGGCTGCCCTGCCATGCACAGCTCCTTCTTTGCAATGGCCCTGCTTACCTGAATAGCACATTATCCACAACAAAAAATGACCAGAGATGTCAATAGAAATAAACTAAACTTTTCTGGAATTAGAGAAATCTGAGTACATACCTTCCCATCAAACACCATTTCATATCCTTCTCGGTTTTTTATGATATTGTATAAATACTCTGCCAGCTCCAAACACTTATCAATATGTGCTTCAAACCCAGTGGTCCCCTATGGAAGAGAAGAACAAAGCCCATCAGCAGGCTGAGATGTGGGGAGAGACCTCAGGCAGAGGTACAAGGCGAGGGTCTCTCTAGCACTCAGCCTGCCCATTTCAAGTGCTGCTCAGGCACTTTCCTGACACAGACAGTTTCCACAGGCTCTTCCTGTAATTATTTCCCTCTAATGCTCTCCCCCTCAGGTGCTTTTGTTCCCTTTCATTACTGCTTTCCACAGTGGACTCCTTTTCTTTGTGAGCCTCTATTCCCCAGGCAATTATTTTGATTACTCAAGGGGAAAATTTGCCTCTGCTGTTCATAGGCGTGATCATGAAAGTCACTAATAACAGGAGGTCTGGGCTGTTCTCACCATTCCGGTAATAAACATCATCAGAGACACCCCCTTCCACACACGCACACAATGTCTGCTTAGTCCCTGTCCATCATGTAAATTTTCCATTTCCAGGCCTCTTCTTTGTTCACTAATGTGCCCCTATTATAAAACAGACAGGGGAGGAACTCAGTGAATATGAGTTGAGCGAATGAATGACTGAATCTTAGGGAGCATGCAGAAGCTTTGCTAGCATGTCATTCTGCCAAGCTCTTCGGAGTTCTCCTTTAGTTATGGATAAAGGACTCACATGTCTGTAATGGGCAACATTATCACAGAGGGCTTCTACTTGCTAGCTCTGAAAGCCCTGAATCTGGACTCAGGAAAAACAGCACAACAGCCTTGGACAGGAGCTATTTAATGAACAACAGGAAACACTAGGTAGGGCGTTATTTTTCGAAATGGCTTTCCTTTCACTTCTTTCAGCATTTACTGAGTACTAATGGAAAACTTGGAAAAATAGCTAATGCCCATCCTGGGAACACTTAGAACTGGCCCACCAGTAACTAATCCAACACGGGAACAAGAGGAAGTGATCATAATGGAGATAAGATAGGCCCTTTCCTGTGTATGTATTCTCATCATCTCAGCTAAAAGAGGGTCCCAGCACAGTCCAGTGACTTACAACATTTGAAACATCTTTAAAAACAGCTGCACTGAAGAAATGTAATGGATTTAGAAATTCATTTATTTGGAGATTGCTACCCTCGCTGAAGAGTGTCTCCTAATGAACACTAGGAAAGGGTTTGAACAATGCCTGAATGCTCAAGTCAGTACCTATGCCATGAGTTCTCCAAGTCTATAGGTGCAAAGGGAATTAGAATTGGTTTGGACTGACCTGCACTTGGAATCCACTGGAAATGGACCCTGGCTTTGTAGGTGCCCACAAAAGGGAGTGGCCCACACAGTAGAGTTGGATTTCCCCTAGACATATGCCTAAGTCATAAGATGCCACTTCTGAAATAACTACAGAATATGTTACAGCTGTCTCTATTTCCACTGTCTCAGCCCAAGTTCAGGATATTTCACTTTTCATCTGGGTTGCACTTCCCTAATCATCTTTCAGCTAATTTATACTCCCCACCAGTCTCAGAATCTGCACTTAAGCTTTGGCTTGACCTTCGTAGAATGTCCTTCTCCTGGCTCTGCTGCTTGGAATCCTACTCATTCTATCTATCCTGTTTAGGACTCAATTCAAAGGTCATTTCTTGATGGATAACTTTTGTTTCTCAAACCAAGAATGAGCTCTCCATCCTTTAAGTTCTCAAGATGTGTCTGTGTTTCTTTTATGACTAGATATGTTCTGTCTTATATGATGGCTAGCTGTATCTTTATCTTATTCTATCTAGAAAATGGTAGTCTCCTTACACCATTCAGTACAAGGCATAATAACAGATGCTCAATATCTACTTTTTGAAGTTAATTAATATTTTAGAGAGAAAATAAACATTTACTCACTCAGCAAAACATGCCAGATATCAATTTTCCTTTAATAATATTTTGTGTTTTTTTTTCCCCTCAGCCATTTGACAGATCTTTTGTTAGGAAATGTTTTAAGTTAGGGAGGTTAATCATAAAAAAATAGGAAATCTGACCATTTGTATAAATACATACAAACTCAGAGATTTACTGTGAAACCTTACTATTAGGTTGTTGGGAAAATCATAATGTATTTTCTTGTTTTTCTATGCAAAAATGCATTACAAGTTTTCTGACAACCCAATAGTTACATATTAAGCCATCCCTGCAGACCTAAAAAGTGACGAGTTTCATTTTTTTGCTACTGAGTCATTTGAATTTCTTACATATTCTAGATATTAACCCCTTGTGAGATGCATAATTTGAAAATATGTTCTTTCAATCTGTAGGTTGTCTCTTTACTCTGTTGATTATTTCCTTTGCTGGGCAGAAACTCTTTAGTCTAATGTAATACCATTTATCATTTAAACTTTTGTTCCCTATAATTTTGAGTTTTTATTAAAAAAAAAAATCCTTGCTGAGGCCAACATCACGAAACATTTCCTTTATATCTTCTACACACTCATGTTTATTGCAGCACTACATTTCTGCCTAGGAAAAGAAGCAACCAATAGAGTGAAGGGTCAACCTTCAGAATGGGAGAAAATATTTTCAAACTATGGATTTTAAAACAAGGGATTAATAAGTCAGAAAATATGAGGAATTAAAACAACTCAATAGTGAAAAATCAAATACTCCAATGGTCAAAGATTTGAACAGACATTTCTCAAAAGAAGATGGGCAGCACATATAAGAACAAGTGCTCAACCTCACAATCATCAGGAAACTGTAACTCAAGACCACATTGAGATATCATCTCATCCCAGTTAAAATGACTATTTTTGAAATGACAAAACAAAGAAACAAATAATGTCAAGGATGCAGAGAAAGAGGAACACTTTTACACTGTTGTGGGAATGTAAATTAGCTCAGCCATTATAGAAAACAGTGTGGAGGTTCTTCAAAAAATTGGAAATAGAACTACGTTATGATCCAGTAATATTACTGAAGATATAGTCAAAGTAAAGAAAATCAACATATCTAATAGATATCTGCACCACTCTGTTTATTGTAGCATTATTCACAATAGCCAAGATATGGAATCAATCTGAGTATCCATTGATGAATAGATAAAGAAAATTTATTTTTACAAAACACAATACTATTCATCCATAAGAATAAAATCCCATCATCCAGTGTCAACATGCATGGGCTTGGAGGTCATTATCTTAAGCAAAATAAGCCAGGCAAGAAAGACAAACGATGCATATACTGAGACTCACTTATTTGTGGAATCTGAAGAAAGTTGATCTCATAGATGTAGAGAGTAGAATGGTAATTATCAGAGATAATAGTGGGGAGCAGAGGATCAGAAGGTGTTGGTCAATGGGTACAAAGTTATAGATAAGAGAAGTAAGTTCTAGTGATCTGTTACACAGTAGGATGACTACAGTTAACAGAAACTTATTGTATATTTCAAAATAGCTATAAGAAAGGATTTTTTTATGTTCTCACCACAAATATATGATGTTGGAGGTGATGAATATGTTAATTTTGCTAATGTGATCATTATACATTGCATGCATGTATTGAACTATCACACTATATCCCCCAAATATGTACAATTACATGTCCATTTAAAAAGAGAAATTTTAAAAATCAAGATGTTCTGCCATATAAAGCAAAATGGATTTGTTTTCTACATGAGTGAGCATTAGAAGTAGTTTGACTTGAAAAGAATCAGATAATGGCTTTGTTATATTCTTGCCCATTTAGAATGTAGGTATTCAGAGATATGATTAAATAAACTTAACTTTTGTAATTTAATTTTTTTCAATTTGAAAATCAAAGAGTGGTTACCAGTTAAAGTTTCTGTTTTGAATTGACATTGATCTGGTCTACACATACTCACCTTTGCCCTCCACATCAGCCATAATTTAAAAACATCAACATGGCGTCCACACTGTAAAGCCTTGTCTCCAGTGTCATAGGACAGATCATAATGTTTATCTTGCTGAAAGAGGTAGGAGGCATGCATCTGGTTGCAACTCTGCATCAATCCCTATAAAAGAGAAGAGAAAATTTAGAAAACTCTACTGACTCTTCATTATATTTACATTGTGGTGGGAATAATTAAGAACAAAGTAAGAGACATTGTATATCTTGGAGAAAGAAAACTGTAAGAATCAAGTGAAAAAGAGTGGGACCAATATTCAAACAGGATTGTTGTGATAGGCCAACTCTGTGGGCTAAATGCATCAGGGTCAAATGTCACCAGAGGTTACTAAGGAAATACTTATTCTTTTATGCCTCTTCTAAGAGAAAATACTTTTATAAAAATAAGTAAATAATATACACTGTAGCCAGAATATGATGTTCATTCTTTAGAAGAACATTCCGATATTCTATTTTGTCAAAATAAAGATATTTTGGAAACTCTTCAGATCTGTACTATATTATTTATGTAGTTCTTTGAGCTGTCTTTGGAAATCAGAGCTTTTAAGACAGTTCATTACTATCTCTTCTTAATATGCTGAAATCTAAAAATCAGACATTTGAATGTGGAGATAAATTGAAATAACCAATCTTGCAAATGTCATATTCTTCCAAGAGCACTCAGAGTTTCAGTATTGCATTTTAAAACTTGGTTGCTTATGGCAATCGCAGTGGAAAGTTTCATTGCCAATGACCATCATTTGCTCTTGTACCATAACCCTGCTCTAGAAATAGGCAAACTGAACTGTTCCAAAGAACAGAGAATGAATCATGCTTTCTGACTAAAACAGCACTGCCTGTCTCTTCACTTAGTTTCAGTTTGTCACAAATCACCGGAAGCCTTTAACTCTTTTGTTATTTACTGTATAATTGTGATTTTACAAAAGCTTTGGTGTTTGCTTTTTGTTTCTCTTGTGACTCATGATGAGAGAAAAAAAAAAACTAAAATGTAATCACTTAGGTGAAGTTAGAAATGAGAAGACTTTAAAAAAATGTATCCAAACTAAACACATGTGATACAACTGAAATTTCAAGCAGATTTTGAAAAACATATGGTAGACAACAGAACTGGACTTTACCTTGTAGTTTAGACTTTGGATCCATTTAAATCCCTAAAGTTACTTTGAGACTAAGAAAAATGAAATACAATGTACTTTTATTAGAGCAGTAGGAAGACTCTAAATTAAAAATCACTTCACGAGCAGTAAGATGTAAAAATTGCCATGGGTGCTTCTATTTGCTTTCATGGTCACAGAAACTTTGTAGTGTTCTTGCCCTGCGCACGTGTGAACTCATAATAGATGCCGTCAATACTGAAGGAAACTACCTTAGAAAGTATGAAATGATGAATGGATCAAATCAACTCCTACTGGGAAAAAAAAAAAAAAAAACATGGCCTCTAGGCATCTAGGTAGCATATCTCATTGTACAAAGTGATAAGTAAAAGTGATATAGTTTTTCATATAGAAGATCTTGGGGAAGTATTGGGTTGTCAGAAAAGTCATGATGCATTTTTGCATAGAAAAAAATGTCATGACTTTTCTGACAACCAGTAATAGCCTGGTTCTGAACCCTTGAAAATTTATCAACAATAATGTCCCAAACTATTTTAAATGCATTGATATTTGGTGTACAAAGAGAGATTTCCATGGTCAAATGAATTTAGGAACTGTATCATAAATCCCTTCTTTTTCTGTATTCTAATATAAACAGCATAGACTAAAGGCTCCAATAACCCCTTAAATAATGAAACTTGGTTTTAACTCTAAACCAATATATTCTAACCTTTTTATAATGGAAAATCTCTTATCACAGAATATTTATTACCATCTTATGGAGCACTTTTATTCCTTGGACCGCTGAAAAAGAAATACTGTCAGAGCACCATAAACTCATGAATTTAGAAAGGAGTTTAGAGCTCGTTAAATTCTTTCTATATCTTTTTTTTAATAACCCCTTTCATTTATATAAAATTATAAATTATCCTTTTAAGGACAATGTGAGGCAGATGAGATTTTTAGCTTCACTTTACAGGCATGAGTAGACACATTGCTCCCACATTTTGTATAGGACAGATCTTGGAGGTAAGCTCTAGGCTTCCACAGCCATAACTGTTTTCCCATGACTGACACATCAGTTTAAAATAATGTGATCTTAGACTGGCAGGTGACATGGTGGTTAAGGCACTGAATACTCCCATATGACGGACCACAGTTTGAGTCCTGGACCTGGTGGCTTGCGATCTCACTTTCCCTCTCTGTGTGTGTGTGTGTCTCTCTCTCTGGTCAAATTAAAATAAATGAATAAATAAAGTTAAATAAATAATCTTAAAAAAAGAATAATCTGATCTCATAATGCTTTACGGTGAAAGAGTAACGTCTATTCCTGGCAATTTAATTCTGGAGCCAACCAACCTAATTATCTCATAACTTGACATATTTTATAGTTTTATTACTACCCTGAATTTTATAGCTATGTATGAGGGCCCCTGAGGCAAAGTTGCAGTGTAGATGATCTGAAAAGACCAGGTAACACAATGGTTAAACATGTTTTCAAGTTTAACTTTGGCCTGGCACATTCTCACCAAAGAGGCAGAGATGGTGAGGCAACCAAGTGAAAGGAGCAGAGGAAAGGCATTTATGAATGGATACTGATGAAAACAGTCAGTAACAGACCCACTTTCTCCAGGATAAACACTGCCAGAAACCCTGTTGCTAGCCTACTTTCTCACTGCCAATAGGACAAAAGAGTACTTCTGGAGTCGATTGTACAAGGGAAATGGTTTAACCAAGCTGCTTGCCTGGGGTCTGATGTGCCAATTTCACCCATGCTAAACCAAGAAAAATTATTTACTCCTTCCCCATTTGGGTTTTAAGGAGAGAGCTACTCATCAGGGAAACCTGGAAATTCTACCCGAGGAGGGAAAATGTTGGGCATCTCCAGAGTTATAGATGATACAGCAGGAAATACAGTTTGCCACTGTGTTTTGAGGAAAAATAGCAAATATGATTGAAGGGGAAAAGGTGTCTTGGTAAGGTGTGTTCTTCTACCAAGCACGGAACCAGGAGATTGGCAAGATCAGGGCCTGGTAACCAATCCTGGTAAAAACAAGACTTCCTCTTATAAGGTACAGAGATCCCTGAGAGGAGTCTATGAACACCATTAAATTCCAAGGACAATTTTGAGTATGTACATGTTTTCCTAACAAATGGGTCCTCTCTCAAATGCTGAAATAGAGAAAAAGACTAAAACAGTTGTGGGTTAGAACCCAAAAGCTATCAGATACGAAGAACCTGTCACGTCTGAGAGCTCTCAGAGCCATCAAAACATTGGACATAGTCCAGGGCAGAGCCAACTGAATACTTGTTTTTGTGCTTCTTCCCAGTTGTATTTCAAGTCTTTTCAAAAGAAGACCCTAGAAACCCCCAGTTTCAAGTATGCCGCAGATTTGGTTCACTCCTGTGGGAGTCTTGGGGAGCCTTGTTTATATCCGGTTGTTCATTCACCAACATTACAGCCCAGGATAGACGCGGTGAAGCACAGCTCCTTCCATGGCATCTTCCGATTTCAGAGAATGCAGTAGCCAACATGGAAAATTGCCAGAATTTTTCTTTGCAACTAGGTTGTGATGAGGGTACCTGTCATGAACATAAATTACTGTATTTTCGTGACTCTTCCTTTCCAGGTTCTGAAGTTGAAGCAGACAATAATCTTCTCTGAAGATACTTGATAACAATTCAAAAACCAAAACCACATGCTTTCAAGGCACAGTGCTTTCAGATATTCTGGGTCTAGTTGAGCTGGCGGTTGAGTTGATAGATGTATTCACCCCAAAGGCCAGGTGATCCATCTCCTTGAGGAAGCCCACTTTATTTTTGGCAGAGCGATGGGCCACCAATAGGTGGAAAGGGTGCAAGAAACATGAGATATCCTAGAAATATTTCCCCAGGAAGGCAATTTCATGAATGAGGTCTTCTAAACAAGTGATCCCAAACCTCCCTAGGGGCTCGTCAATCACTGTGTTTATCAGAGCAATGGTCTTATTCTTAACCTTGGCTTGTGCCCATTTCAAGATGAGTTCCTGGAAAGATTTCAGACTTGGAAATCCCCAGATCAAATAAGGTTCCACTATTCACAGAGTTTTTAGGCTTTAAGGAGTGACTGACAAAAACACCACTGAAAATTTTCTTAGACGCAGTCTTACCAGGTCTTCTTCACCACTGAACACCCCATCAGTACTTTTGATGCATACAACAAAGGCCAGTGATTATCTGGCACTTCCAAGGAATGAGGTTTCACTTCTGAGACATACCGTGTCACACTATTACTGCCAGGAATCATTTAAAATGATGCCAGTTGCTTAAATCTGGGCCCTCTTTCTTTGCTTGTTCCTTGCCAAAAGTGCTTGCTTTGCTTGGGTGACTTTGCAGTCTTGATAAACCTTTCTCTTTTTCAGGAGATTTTCTGGAATAAATGGGATCTTTCCCTTTGCTCTGACTCTACCATCTTTGTGGTCTCTATATCCTTATTAATAAGTGGTTATCCAATCTTCATTTAATTACCTCCTCCGGTAATTAATTTATTCCTGCTATTGGACAGCTGAATCTTTACAAAAGGCTTCCTTTTATTGACCCCATGTCAGACCTAAAATCATGGTGTGTTCTGATTTTGTCATCAAAACTGTACAACCTGGTGTTACTAATCCAGTCCCACAAAGACTCAAGAAATATAAAATCTCTTCCACTTGAGAGTTCTTTAAATCACAAAGGCTGCTAACCTCCTCTTAGTCCTTTACATTTCATTTTCTTCTCATTTTTCTCCTCCTTCTCCTCCTTCCCCTCCTTCTTCTTTTTTCGCCTTAGATTACACATCCTTAGTTCTTTCAACCATCCTTCTTATATGGTTTCCAATTATTTCCCACTGTTTGAACTCCAGCTTGATGGAGGTCCCATATAAGATTTCATACCGGGGGACCAGCAGCTGGTGTAATGGCTTTGTCGCTGGACTCCTGCATAGTCGAGCATGGTTAGAGTCCCAGACCCAGTGGCTTAATCTCATGTCGGGCGC